CTGATTTGCACGGCGAAATTAAACTGAGGCAACTTTTCGGGATCTATGTCGAAACAAACTACGAACATTCGCATCTGAGGTGTTTACTTTGTGATAATGTAAGAGGTTATGTACACTGTCTCTGGTTGATAATTATGTATCCTAGGGGCAACTATCTCATGCATAAACAAACGTATGTAATACACGGGACACGCGATAATGCGAACTGTCATTTCTGTACATTAACATTATAGTACCTACTTATTAATGATTATTAAATCGTTGTTGACCTAATTGACATAATCACGCTTTGTACCTGAAAATGCCTTAACTGCATCCCATTTTGTAAAATTTTATGGTATGTCATTTAAATAATATTATTTTATTAATTAGGAGTCTTCTATCTAACACTTCTAAGGTAGGGCCGCGCAGCAACTTCTGCCGTTGCACACAAAGGCCCGCGTGAACTGGAAGTATTATAATTTCGAGTTCCGTCTAGTGCGTGAGGTAACCGGGGCTCGCATTTTTTAATGGTTGGTAACGCATCTGCAGCCCTTGGGGTACTGCAGATATCCATGGGCGGTATTCACTTAACTTAATCTGAACCGAGTTCTCGCTTATTAGCTTTTGAATCATGCAAATATGCATTTCTGATATTGAAACATGAATATCAACTGCTCCTTTATAAACTAAGACTGTTTTTATGGATATAGTCCCAACCGCAAGTAGCGTCAAGAAGAACATAATTTGTACCAACTCTGTCAACAACCTCGAAAAGCCCTACTCTTGCAATATGACCCATCAAAATCAATTTCGGCTTTTAGAAAATACGCCATATCACCGACATAACTAAAATCAGTTTTGCCATTGATAAGAAGAACAATACCTTGATAATTGCGCAAATCGTATAAGACGTCAAAGGCGCCGACGGGGCATAGGTTCGATTTTCAAATGGAAAGGTTAAGTTTTTGCGTGATCCAAATAGAGTTGCTCCTGATCTTGGTGTTTCCCAAGCAGGGTTAACAGCAGGCGTCCGACTGCCCTAAAAAGCCTAGCCAATACCACTAACAACATGATTCACAAGTTGTGCCGCCTCCACGTGGTGGAAAGAGAATTGACCAACTCAAAGTAATTTTCAATATGTTCAAAATTTGTAGTTAATACTGATGGATAAAAGTACATAGGTCGAATACATAGTGCGAGCGCGCTCAGGGCCGGATAATCGACGATTTATTGCTGTCCATGTGCGTTTCGGGCTGTTTCTCAGAAGCAGCTACACTCCCTTACGACGGTCATAAAAGCTGCGGTAACATGTGCAATGGCAGCGCTTGCAGCGTCAAATCCATTTCAGTGCCTTTAGTAGTGATCGTGGAAAGATGTAGCATCAGTGCAGGAAACGCACTGGTTCCATTTAATGAACTTGTAAATCGTTGCTATAAAGAAATTTAAAGGGGCTTGAAAATGCTTTAATGAATCCTCTGAAAGATTATAAGCAAATGAAGAAAAGACAAGTTGAGAGCAGTCGCGAGCAATAAGGGCCATACGTTCATACTCGCAGATATACGAGTTAAGCTAGTTTTCTTATCTAAAAATATGTAATTGCCAATATACGAATATGCAGCTTGTGGTTATATAACCGCGTTACGTCAAATAAAAGGGTAGAGTAAACAATTAATGATAGTTTATTTGCAAGAGAATCTAAATGTATTTTTATTTTTTATTCTGTTAAAAACACTTTAATCACATTTTATCTAATGTGGGAGTCGTGAGAGATGATAAGTCATCCGATAGTCTACTGAATGAACTGTAAGATATGAGATTGAAAATCATTGCTCTAACGCGGCTTAATTTTGTCAGGTGAGCAATAGTAATCGACGGCTGAATAGAAACAATCGCAAAGCTGCTGTAACTGTCGTTGTTAGGTTTATAGCATTAAAACATTGTCATGGTGATGACGTAACGATCAAAACTATCTCAGCGTTTCTGAATCACTTGCTTAGGTAGGCATTAGTTCATTTTGAAAATGCCAAGCCGTCAACGGACACTTTGTATCGGGATTGTATTAATAAGTTCATCAATTATAAAAATGATGTCTTGACAATTTAATCTTTTCTTTTTACCTTTATAACGTAAAGTGACTGATTGAAAATTACGTGCAGAGTTAGCGTAGCTACGCCACAAAAGGATTGTTAATTGAAATAACCCTTTAAATAACTGTTATAGGACAAAATTTCAACTCTGAAGCACAGAGCCCTTCTGCCAACACAACTCCAGTGGTACAGTGAGACAAGGCGCTTTGTAGCGGAATGCAACAGGCATTAGATACGACAGAACTTTATAAGTGCTTCAGAGAAATCCGTGAAGAGATCCTTGCATAATTCTCTTTTATACAAGTTACAAGCAACAATCTCGTTCTATAATTTGAAGGATCTATTGCAAGAATCTATATAGTACTCGTATAGACAATTTAGTTTAATAAGAATAATAATTACTTAAAAAAGGTTTAGGTAAAAAAAGGTGTATCGTTTTAAAATGCTTTAAAATACTACTTATACTTGCTATACATATTACTGTTTTCATGAACTTTACAAAGTCACGGCTAATTCGAGCGCGCACTCCCAGCACTCTTTGAATGACTATCGACCGGTGCCTACTAGAAGTCTAGTGATGAAATACGCCGTCGGGACAGATAAGACGGATCAACTCCTGCGCAAAGGAGACGCGATCCGAACTGATAGCCTTCTTATTAATTTTTTGAAGTCGCTTAAATGTAAAAGCTAGCCTGGCCGACGTGTTTCGGTTTACACGGAGATAATGGCGTACGTAGCCACGTTCCTTATGCCGCGCCGCCAGTAGGCACGTATGATCTGTTTACACCAACGCCCGTTTGTTCGAGCCGTTTGATCTTTATAAATGCAATAGGTATTTCGAGAACACCGCTCGGAGGAACTCGTGCGCGGGCCCGCTATAATGAAAGAGAAGAAACGAGAAAGATTTTTGGGAACGACAACCTTGATACGATGTTTATTCTGCGCTATAGGTGCTCCGTTTATGAGCATTTTTTTTTATTTGGCTTAACTGACGTTTGTTTGAAAGTTTTAATTCAGTCCTGGACTGAGATAGCGCGCTTTGGTAGCCGCCATTTGGATTTCGGGTCGCGACTAACACGCTAAGTGATGCTGTTCGGTCCCACATAGCTGATGTTCAATCTTTGAAAAGCTTTGATGCGAGATGTTTGACCGTGAGACTGAATATACGTGGTTACATATAAATAACCTTTTACGTCTCCCTTCCTAAATGACAGCTTTTTGGCAAAAACGTACATAGCAGTAACATTTTGCAAATAAACGCAATAATTTTTTTAAATCACTTTCAATTTTATACTTAAGTTTGCTTAGTGAACGTTATGTTAACGTATGTGTTTTAACGTTATGATATGTCACCGTTTTATTAAAACTAAAAGTTAAAACTAAAGATGTCCTAAAAGTCAACGTCAAAGCTTTTGCTTTACAATCTTTTTATTGTTCCGGAACTACTGAAAAAATGTTTACTTTAGTTTTAAATTGCTAAGTGCTTTCTGCAAAACTGGTAAAATCGCTGCTTTACATAATCTTTTTTGACGTATTTATATTTTGCGACTTTTTTTAATGTTCGAGGTTGTTTTTCATCTCGAATTTATTTTATTGGTAAAGACAAAAACTGTGGATTGCAAAGATTTATAAACATCGTTAACTTGCCACAATATCGGAGTCGTAGTTACAGAACAAAGCTTTTATCAGTTTACTACGTGGCATACTTTTAATACATTTCTTAAAATTCTAAAATTTTAGAAGATTGACGATAAATTTTATTTGTGATTAATTTAAACATTTCTTTAAAATAATAAATGCATTTAAATAAATGAACCATTTACTTACCCCGCTCAGCAAAGGACATAGTTGATTTATATTCATATGTCATTTTATTTAGCATATTAGGCAAATGATTTTAGTACTAACTTAATATTATTATTAATCTGCGAGTTGATGAGTGTAGACTTGGAGAGTCCACAAAGTTACAGTCTAGTCTTGGCGCCTTTCTTGAAGATCTTCGAAACAAAAATGAACTGTATTTTCATTCAGATAAAGATCATTATTTAAAAAAAGGTTTAATAATATTATAATAATAAAAATAGAATTTTTTTATCGTGTCATTTTGGTAACTATGAACATTTTGTCAGTGGAAACAAAGTTCCGGTTCTTAAGGAAACAAAACTATTTCAAGCAAGACTTAAATAGAGACGTATTAGTATCACGATCTATGGTATATCGGAATGGTAATATCGGTATTTACAAAACTCTCCCTATAATTAGCCACTATAAAACAATTGTTGTGCACCGAATCAAATGTGCTCCTGTAACAACTGATAAACAATTATTCCACGAGACGCGAAGACTAAACAACGTAAATGTATTTCTTGCGCCGCAATATCGGTTCCGATTTAGAAACTACGAGTATTCCAAACACGTTAAAAATAGTCCGTGTAATTGACACTGAGATCGATGCATTTCATGGTTTCAACCCGATGTGTGCGGTCCGGAATCCCGTGGACGGTGATCTGTTTAAAATCCACGGCACCTAGAAAACGCGCACGCAACTACCGTAAATGCATAAAAAATCAGAGTAACCAACCATCGTCGACGCCGGAACAACACATGATGCCAGATCACCCTTTTACCCGCCACCCCCGACTTTTGTTTATCTTGCATTTTTTGGGTTCGATATTCGATATCACGCGGCTGTGGAATATGCAAATTGCGACTCGAATAACACTGCTCTAATATTTCGCTTTTTGGTTACTTTTTTTTGCCTCTCGCTGCATGCTCTAAACCACTAAGTTTATCTCTTTGTTTATAAAAGACGCGATGCTGTATTTAAGTATTACAATTTACGTTCGTTTAAATTTATTTATATTTAGAAATTCACAATTGAATCGTACTTTCCAATGATTAATAGAAATTAAATAATTTTACTTCATTTAGGGTGGATCGAAGGCGCAATACCAGATTATCTCCGAAATTTTACATCGTCCGTGACCTGAAATAGTAATCACATCGACTATTTCTTAAACAAGGTACTGAAATTTATATAACTGATTAAAGACAAAGCGAATTGAAAAATAAATGTGCCGCATTTTTGAAAATATTCAAATATCACAGTGTTAAATATACAATGGGATCATCAGTTCTTAATTTATAACGTAAGGTTTCGATGTAGTAGAAACCCTAAGGTAAACCATTAGGTACTGAGACAAATATTTGTGTCCAAATGTCCTAAGTATATTTTACACGACACCTTTGAATATATTTCCCTGGCATATTGCGTCCTCGTGAATCCTTAATGCCACACAAAACAAATAATATTACCGCTTTGTTGAGTTGTCAGTGGAAAGAAATATATATGGGAGATAAAAAACTATCATTCGACCCGCCTCGGCATCGTAAAATAATTTATTAGGTGAACATAACATCCAATATAAAATGAATTATCTGCTTTTTATTGCCACAGTGACATTAAAATATTTTGACTGCCACGCGCCGCATACGAATATCCGGCATTCAGGATTCACATAACTCGCTGGCGATCATTTGGTTAGTAAAAAGTGTTGTACAATGACTTTTGATTTGTAAATGCTGTGCGATTTATGCGAATTCTCTTCATTTATTGTATTGTTTTTATGCGCACCGGGAAGGGTTCGTTACCCTCGACTGTTTCCCACCTTACCTGAGCGCACCACTTAAAAAACTATAAATCCGTAGTTAAACGATGTGAGTAATGTGATCGGTTTCGAGCGGCCCCGGCGCGCATCACTCGTCGCCAGCCAACTTGAGAGCAATTTATCTCATCGGCGAGGCCCTCGACTTGATCTACGATCTGAAAAGCGATGACATATAACAGGGAGCGGGCGGGCTCACTGAGTGCACACTTTAGTCTTCGATCACCAAATTGTAAGCCATTTATTGAAAGAAATCCAACATGCCCCCGGTATTAAATGCGCAAAAGCGGGCGGTCCGTCCCGGCAGTGATCCTCGCCTTCTCCTTCGTTCGTTACATCAAAGACCTGTCGAACTCACACTAGGATCAGCGTCCGTTAATTTATCAATCCCCCGCCTTCCCCAGCCTAACTAACACGTGTTAGGATTCTGAGAAAATGGTAGCTCCCAGTAAAATTTCATTCCTAAAATCGTCCAATTGGGAGGTTTGTTTAAATTACGGCTATTAGGTACTAGAGTGTTGCACGTGGCCGACAACGGACGAGCAGCAGGCCGCCCGCGATCGATGGGAACGCGTAAGGCGTGCAATTATAGCTAGCTGTTACGGATTTAATGTGAAACATGTAGCTATATAATTTTACGCGGCCGTTACATGAATCAACGCGTTGTCAGTCAAGCGCCTTGTACGATCGGCTTTATCCGCCTCGCCCTTTGATTTCGCGGAGAATCATTTCATATAACATTTTGGTATTTATTTTAAATAAACATAACGTTAAACACATAGCAGTCGAACATCTTGTTTTTGGCAACGGCCGTTCCTTTCGTCGAAAAGTGTTCTGAGTCGGGAGAATTAAAAATAAATCCATATCTTGATTTCAATGCAGCGCTAAAGTTCATCATTGTTTTTGAAATGTGTTTGGATGTTAAAATAATTATTTGGTATAATTTTATTAAATTATGTACATACCTATATATTAAGATGGGTGATTTTCCAAAAAATAATAGGACTCCGCGCCTCGAATATCGGACTGTTTGTACGTACAATGTACACGCCTCACTCACTTTACATTTTAGTATGTCGATCACCTGCAATTCCGCGGCCCTATCTGTGAAGTACCGTTTACTTAAAATAATAAAAATAAAATAATGTCATCTTATGGTATGAAATGATGTAAGAATTATATTAAATCCTTAAATCCTTTAAAAAGGTGAAGACCATTGGAAAACGTATCAAGGAATAATATAGGTATCAAGGAATAATATAACACTAATTTAACCGGTTGATTTATTATCGGCACACAGAACATTATCAGAAATAGGTATATAGTTAATTCAGAAATAGGTATATAGTTAATTTTTCCGATGGATTGGGTATCTAATCCGTTTTGTTATGTTTTTAGTCATTATTTGTAAGTTGATTGAAATATTTTTTATAATTTTCCTACCTCAAATAAACCACGGAACAATTGGATAAAATGGATTGGATAAAAATTATAAGGAACTTCAGAGGTGAAGACCATTGGATCCCATCCAAAACGAGCGTGATTACCTATATAGTAAATGCAAACGATTTGTAATTTGTAGATAATAATATGTAATGAAAAACAACATTCGTATATCAACTAAAATATTAGATAAAATTAAACAAATGTAAATGGATAGATTTTTTTTAAGTTTAGAAATCGAATAGATTTCCAGGGATAGAACAAAAAATGAGTCTGATTAAATAATAATTCAGGAAAATATTTGGCTATCAGATCATATTTCAAATTTAGAATAGAACAATAAACAGAAATAGGCTGGTATTTAAACAAATAACCGAACGTTAAAGAATTTATCCAGCTTTTTAAAGTTCCGGACTAAAAGGATAAGACTCCCCATTACTAAGATTCCGCTGTCCGTCTGTCTATCTGTCTATCTGTCCGTCTGTCAATCTGTCCGTCTGTCTATCTGTCTGTCACCAGGCTGTATCTTATGAACCGTGATAGTTAAACAGTTGAAATTTTCACTGATGATGCATTTCTGTTGCCGCCATAACAACAAATACTAAAAAGCAGAATAAAAAATAATTTAAGTGGAGCTCCCAACAGACATGATTTTGTTTTTAAACCACTTCCACCTGATCATACTAAAGTTCATTTTCGATATGCGTTGCGCGGAGTTCTGTTACATTACATGTCCGTGTAATAAATAGGAATGTACTATACAATTCAGGTGAGCAAGGATCATGCAAAATACAATGTTACATTTAGCAACCCTTTTTTAATCCTCGATGAAAGGCATGATCATGTTCATTTCTGTTGAAACGAAAATATATGTTAAGTTCAGCTTATTAATAAATATTCATAAGTTTCTATTAAAAATGCATGGCTATATGTCAATTTCACCCAATACTATAGATGCTACAAACCTAAGAGCCTTTGTTTTTCGCATATATTCGGCATAACACAATTATATATATATATATATATATCCGGATGCGGATCTTAACTTAACATTCAGGAAAATCTCAATATCAGTGTATCCTTTGGTAGCGCTAGTGTATGATTTTGTGTCTGATTCGATGGATAAATTAGATTTTCGTACTTCAGAAATTGGTAAAAGTTTCAAGTAGCCATATTTTTAGACCAATTGAATAAAAAAAATTGCTTACAACTTTAGGAAATGAAGTAAATATTTATTATATTACAAATGTCTATGTCGCCGCGTCAGCAATCTCCAATAAATGTTATTCTTTTTAATTTTTATATTCAATATATTTCTATTCACATTTTTATTTATCCTACTAGCGTGAAAGGCATTATTTTCACCTGGAAAAGTTATTTTATTAATAGGCTACTTTACCAAAACGCTCTTGTGGCCAGTGTTGCTGAAGTCACATCTTTACATTGTTATAAAACAAAATCGCCCCCGCTGTTTGTACGCTTTGATCTTGTAAACTACGCAATGGATTTTAATGAAGTTTTTAGCATTAGATAGAATGATTCAAAAAGAAGGTTTAAATGTAAGACAAGCCAAAAAATTAAGATTTGTAAAGTGACGTTGTAACAAACATATTTTTGTGCGTTTACACTGCAAACGCTGGCAAAAACTTACAATCTTGTATCTTGTATTAACTGATGATAACCCTTTCAGCCCCGAGACTATTAAAGCTTCATAGAACGTAGAACCTGTGGGCTAGCGAGAACCCTCGGGTTTGAGGCCCTTCAAATATAGTCCTCCATAACAGCGTTAGCTAAGTAAGTAACAGTCTAATCTTACAAGATATATGAAATGAATAAATAAACCATATTGCACAAACAATGGTAAAAAAATTCAAGATGACAATTACCACCGTGCGAAGCCGGGGCGGTTCGTAATATATAATATATAACCATATATATCCTCGTCGAAACCCATCCGAATGCACAGAACTTTATGCCATTCAACGGCATGCTAATGCGTGAATTTCTTTTAAGGTAAGCGAACTGAATGAAAACCATTTTTTTGTTAAGGTACGTGCGCCGATGTTTGCAGGAATGCGCGGTGTCCATCAACAAATGCTGTCGGGCGGTTCCCTCGGGAGCTCATCGATTGGCGGCCTGGGTGGCTTCGGGCACCACTTGTCGTCGCCGCTGCCAACATTGCCGCCTGATCGCAAACCGCCCACGCCTTTGCCGGCCCTGGGCCCGTCGACATCCCTAGCATCAACACCTGCCCCGCCGGCGACCTCTACAACTATCCACTCTTACTACGACCACATAATATGAAGGCGTCAATGTCGTCAACATTGTTTTTTTTTTTCTTTTTAAAAACATACCTGATACCAACATTGTCGCACTAATTGCAGTTAGAAGGCAAATGCAAATGTCGACCCATAAAAATGTTATATCGGACTTCTGATAAGATCGTGGCGGCAGTTATTTTTAAAGAAGCCGAATTCCGGGAGAATATTAGTTAAATGTAATTTTAAAAACATGATGCTGTTTCTAACTTTTGTCAGTCTGACATATAACGCGGGTATTTATTTATTAATTACCTACGAAAGTCGCGATTAAATTCAAAAGTGATAATTTTAACGACTTTAATATATTTTAGCATAACACGTCGATTTGTAATGATTGTTACAATTTTACGGTACCACACACTAAACTTAGCTAGAATATCTGATAAGTATACCGTACATTCTGAACGACTTTACCCCTTGCTAGCCAATAAGATTGTACAAGAATTTTGTGTGCCTGAATGTACGATCTCAAAAAACTTACGCTTGATTGCTGTTGGTTAATTAATTAATTTTAGTTGTAAATTATTGTTCTATGGCCAGTGTTTTCTTTAACGCATCACCATTGCTCATAAGGATTACAAAGTATTTTCTCCGATATGTTTTAATATCTTTACTCAAATTATTTTACCTCCCTCCGTATCTTCGCTTAGTATGTTTGCAACAAAAGTTAGTTTTAAAAAGTACTGTTATTACTTTAAGTGCTCCTGTAAGCGAAATAAACTCCTTTGTGTATATTCTCTAAAACTCGATGGTCACTATATGACCAACATATTTTTTTATAATCTATGAACTTTCATGGCAGCATTATTGCTATTATACGTATTAATTGTTAAAATGGAAGGAGCTTATTATATATTTTGTGACCACTTAGGCCTACAATTGAGTTTCTAAGGTTTAAACCAAACATAATTTAAGTTGGTACTTAATAAAATTTAGTATAATTACTGTTAATGTTATTAGTGATTTGCTAGATTACCTGCAATCTTATGATATCAGTTAAATATTTATTTTGTATAATATAATTTTTTTATTAAGACCGTACCTACACATATCTATAAGAAAACCAAATGTCAACCAAATATTACATTTCTTTAGATTCATGTTACAAATAGTTTTAGTTGTAAGCGTAATTATGTTTCTTTAATAAATCGAAATTCTCATTAGATGAAGTGTAATTCTTTTAAAAAGAAAAAGCATTAAAACCAGTCACTAGTACAACTATATAGCAAAAATCCCACACATTTTGGTTTTTCGAGAAAGAATTAGTCTACTTTATAAAGCTTCCATAGTAACTTTAAACTATTAAAGGATCTCTTTAAAAGATTTAAACGATTTTTCTTTATAGTTATGGTATTGTAATCGCTTTTGATAATTGACAATTTATTAAAATTTTGAATGACAAAATAAAAACTATTTATGCAGCATTTTTATTTTGACACAAGAGATTTAACATACTTTATTCAACTTATTCTTTTCCAATTTTTTACTATTTAAAATAAACTTAAGGTTGGTTTTAGGATCGAATAAATAGTATTTTAATTTCTTCCTACAAGCAAGCAGACTTAAGCAGTTGGAATATCCCTAATAGTGCTGAATGTACAGAATACATTTTACTCTAAACAAAGTGAGGTGCAACATACTCATACAATTATTGATGTGTCATATGAAGACTAAATTCAATTTTTTTTGTGACAGATAAACAATTAACAGTAATGGATAGAAACTGTTTTAAAACTAAAACACTATTACCTTTGGTCTTTGACCAAGTAACCGACCGTAAGCGATGCTATTCATATTCAAATACAGCTAAGACTGTATTTCAGTTCAAACCACTTTTTGAACTTATCTATAACTGCAGTCTGGCAGCGATGAAAAATATTTTAGACATTTTAAATTATTTAATTACTTCTTTCTGATCGTGTTCATCATGTCTGATGATCGTGGTTGGCGGTCGTCGTTCTAGCACGAATGAGATCTCTCCATCGATTCCGATCCATCGCGGTCCTAACCACATCGCAGAAATTCGGAGACGGTTCTGTGTCCTTGAGCTGGTCAGTCCATCGTGCTGGATATCGGCCACGTGATCTTTTATCTTCAGTGTTTCCAACAACGATCAACCTTTCCAAGCTTTCGTCTCCTCGTCTCATTATGTGGCCAAAGTAACTTAGGAACCGTTGCTCGCAGATTGAGGACAGTCGAGTGTTGATGTTGAGCTCTGACAGTAGTGCGTCTGGCTGTCCATGGTAATCGCAGCATACGCCTCCAACACCACATCTCAAAGACATCAATTCGCTGTCTCTCTCTACTCTTGACAGTTCACGTTTCGGCTCCATATATAAAAATCGAAAATACCAGGGCTCGTACTAAACGCATTTTGGTGTTTTTGGATATTCCGCAATTTTGCCATATTTTATTAGGCTGGTCATGGCATCCTTTCCCATCCCAATGCGTCTTTTTATCTCCGGAGTACAGTTTCCATTCTTAAATATGTTCGACTTCTCTTACGAGCTCTTGCATGTTAGACACTGAGGATGCCAACAATAAAGTGTCGTCAGCATATCGTAGGTTTCTCTCTCTATTTTCTTTTTTTCTATAATTCTCTTCCCGCCAACAGCAAATCCCTTTTCCCATCCGTCAAGCGTATTGCGGATTATACAGCGTGTCGTTACCATCGCGACAATAAATGAACACACGTCTAACGCTACTTGCCAATAATCATAAAAAAATAGTAACGTTAAACAAAATCCATAATTAAAAAAAAATATTTTTCAAACAAACTAATTAAGTAAAAAAGAAACAAAATTTGTAACATCCTATACAACTCGCGTCACAGCGTCGCATTACAAGCCTTTCCGTCTAACAGTATGTTTTGTATGTTTTGTCTCTTTCAAATTCATTCAATCCATTCATATGCTTTGTGATCTTTACAAATGAACTTTACGTTACGCTTTTATAGGTAAGGCTGTTCTAAAATTCTTTGTTTTGGAAAATTTAATAACTCTGTAAATATTGATGTTTAAAGAATTTAAATGTTTAATACAACTTTAAAAAGTTATCCCCTATATGTGTGTTCATTTACTGTCGCGATGGTAACGACACGCTGTATACTCGCAGTAGATATTAAATAACATAGGTAACAATATACATACTTCTCGAACTCCTTTTTTCATCTGGAACATTTTGGAACATTCTGAACCAACTCTTATATAGCTTCTGTTGGCAGTATACAAGTTTTGAATTAGACCTATGAGGTGCCCCGTGCTCCCATTTCTTTCAAAACAGACCACTATTTGTCCCACTGCACGCAGCCAAATGCTTTTGTGTAGTCAATGAAGCAGAGAACAACTGGATTAGGGTCATGAGGTCAATAAATCACTTCATGCAGCGTTATGCAGATACGATTTCCTCATAGTTTACCTACCTAATTATTCGACTTTGAGAGACGAGGTGATCGTATCGAAAATCATAACGCTTGTACTATTCAAACGGTAAATTTCAAAATATGTGTTGATTCGAAAATAGCCGCATGTCTTCGCGTCGTCGACCTTTTCCACCTTGAAATATGGATAGTCACTATATAATTTTATTCAAACACTGGTCTGTAAAATCATAATACATTAAATTGGAGTTGTATCATGTTGAAAATCAAGATTTCTAGCAGTCTAGGTGCTAACGCCTCGACTGTGGAACTCGAATAATCAATAGTTTCAGCTTAGGGCTACTATGTTCTTTGATTCTTTGTGCAAGCGAAACATTTTTTTTTCAACAACACGGCTGTCGTAGCTTAAATGTCGTAGCGCGGATTGGCATTGAACTTTCAAAAGTGTCGTAAAATGTTTATGTATATGCATATGCTCCAGACGAGCCCTGTTCGGTACTGCGTTGTGTTGCACTTAGAAAAGTAAACAGCCAGGAGTTTTCGAGAACATAGAGTAACGCTACAGAAAAGTTTTTTTTTTAAATATTTTTTTGTATGAAACTGACTAGCGCTTGACTGCCATCCCACCTGATGGTAAGTGGCGATACCACCGTGGATGGTAAGCGCCCTAGCTCAGTAAAAGCCTATTGATTGGGAAGTGTTATCTGTTGCCCATAGAAATCTTCAACTTAAAGGACGAAATGCGAAAGTATTTACGTCGATCTTCTGTAAGCTAGTCGTAATTCCCCAAGGCCCTAAGGGTCCGCATCAGTAAACATCCCTTAAAGCCCTGAAAGCTTGCAATATGAAACAGTGGTGTAGTGAGTTTGTCCTTATTTCCAGTATTTAGTTTGTGTCTCTCACTATTCTTTAGATAATAATTAACATTATCTACATACAAAATATTACAAGTATCTATTTGACATTTTTTACCCATGGAATCAGACTATCCATGAGTTTAACGGCTGGGGCTGTCTATTTTTTCTAGAATTTGAATGCTGACTACGAATGTTTGACAATTCACTGGATAGATAGATAAGAGAGACCAAATTTGTCAGACCAACGTTTAATATGTACTAAATCTCTATTAGTAGAACTGCAGATCAGCGGAATACAGATGGTACGCACATTGAAGGTGGAAGGAGATAAGATACCGCCTTGAGTAAAACCGGAAAAAGGTTACACCAACTAGACAAAATGTCTTTTCTTCTAAAGCTATTATGCGTGATCACATAACATCATGTAGTCGGATATATTTAGATTCAATACAGCCGAGAACGCGAAAACTGTGTATTTACACAATTAATATGTTATTTTCGCTTTCTCAGTTATCATGTGTGTATGGTGCCTACTTGTCTGACAGTGGGATAAATTCGCACTGCAACTCCATCGGAAAAATCTACTATGAAGGGCACACTGAAATGATCGGGAATAAGAAAAACCACATGCACGGTATAGCTAAATTGTATTTTTGTATTTTTTCGACGTATTCTCCGTTTAACTTAATGCACTTTTCCATTCGTGCAAACCATTTATTATAACAGTAATTTCAGTCTGAAATT